TGCGTTGCCTGAGTCCCACCCACAGAAGTGGCGCCCACCAAAAGTTTCCTCAGAAGATGGTTGCTTCACTCTGGTGAACACAGCTACTGTCTTTGGTCTCCTCACCAGACGATGATTGATTCCCTCGGGACAAAACCCACTGTCTAGCCTCCAAGCCAAGTTTGCTGAGGCAACACTTTCCAGAACAGAAAAAAAGAGAAGTAAACAGCTGTCAGTGTAGCAGAGGCGGCAGCGGGGGGAGGGGGGACCACCAGCCCAAGTTATCATAAAAAAGCCAGTGGATACATACACAAGCACAGTGAGAGGATGGGACCAGACAAACAGAAAACAGGAAGCCAAAAACCTGAGGCATGCTGCAAAGCACAAATACAGTCACAGATTGTGTGACCTTGGACACCAGTTATTGTGTAACATAAGGTATGTGAGACTTTACTTCAACATTTGTGCATTTCTATTACGAACTTCTAATATGTACTTAACCTGCTTCCAGCCTATGCATTCATTACACATCACATCTTTCTAGAGCTCATTGTATTGCTTTTACAACAAGCTTTACTGCTAGTAGGCTATAATGGAGAATCAATCCAGGGGTATCTGCAGCTCTGGAGGGCTGTTTTTTTGAGGCAGATGTGTCAAATTTGCAGCATACCTGCTGGTTCATCTCAACCCCTCCAAGTTTCAAAAAGATTGGACCAGGAATCTAATTCTGTGGACCCCAGAAGGAGGTGCCCCCATCCTCCATTGTTTCCAGTGGAGTGAAAAATGCCTTAGTGTGAGCAGAAGCTTAAAATCCCTTAGCTGGAGCCAAACTTTTGTGTGCCAGAGCCCCCTAGTGCAACTTAGAGGGAACTCTGCTCACCACTACACCCCACTGGTTCTCACAGTGCTTTCCCCCCATTTCGTTCTATCAAAATATCTCACCCATATCTTTTCCAGTTTTCAACACTGTTTCTCTTGCAGATGTTGATGAGTGTACTTTTAACCTGGACCACTGTGATCGAAGTGTGTCAAAATGTGTCAATACTGAAGGCAGCTACATTTGCCAGTGTTTCATGGGATATGCTGAAGATGGGCTTCATTGTTCTGGTGAGTCAGTGAGTTGGAGGCTGCTACTGTTTATTGCTTGAAATCTTACATTTGGAATGATTTCACCTTACAACATAGAGGGATTTTTTTTTAAATGTCCAGTTTTTGCATTATAAGCATACTATTAAGAGGTACTTTTTAAAAACTGGTTTTACTCTGTTCTTCTAGTTGGCTTCCTAGTTACGTCTGTTGTTAAAGAATCTTTGAGAGCACTGTAGAAAAAGAAACTGATTTTGTATCTGCAGGAGCAATAATCAGTTCTGAGCATAGCTACACAGCCTAGGGTTATAGTCAGGGATATTTTTGGGCAGGAACACAGAGGAACGGAGTACCGGCTGGCTTCAGAGTTTGCCACGCCTGCTACAGCCAAACCTCTGTGTGCGTGGCTACAGAGGGAAGGCCTGGAGAGCGACCCCCCCCCAGCGACTCCATGGCGGACGGGGTCCCCGTGCCTTCCCCAGCCTTCCCTTCCCTTCAAGGGGGGGCTTGCCCGGGCAAGCCAAGGGAAGGCATGGGGGTGTGGCCTAATGTGCTAAAGAGCTGTGCTGTCAGGGGTGTAGCCTAATATGCTAATGAGTTTCTGCTGTTGGGTGTGGCCTATTATGCTAATGAGTTCCTGCTGGGCTTTTTCTACAGAAAAAAAGCCCTGGTTATAGTGGTAATGTATAATAGTTCTTTAACATTCGTTTGATGTCTTTAGACCCTGAAAAGGTATTGCTGCAATGCTGTGCACCCCAGAGCCATCATCTGAGCCTTTGTGTAGCAAGCAATAATTAGAAAATGAATTACGTTTGGAGACCAGCCCTGTTAAAAATGATGATGCAATTGATTTGCATTAGTTCATAATAACTGTGATGTAAACTTGCCTGGCTGGGCTTGCCTGCTTGTGCTAAATTCACAAGCTCCGAATGGCAGTCGACACGTATTATCCCTTCCTTTTTGGCACTTCTGCGTCTGTACGATGTGCACACGGGCATCTCATCAATATGCGGAGTCTCTAGTTGTCAGGGCATGTATTCACTTCCTTTTTACTTCGCAGCCTAATGGGGACAGGGAGGGATAGATGACCTAATAAAGATGTCTCGGAAGTCATTACCATGCATATAAATGAAAGCAGGGATTGAGTCAGTCGTTACTCACCAAATCATTTCTGTTTAATAGTCATGAGTTAGTTTAATAGTCATGAGATTCAGAGATTAGTTTAATAGTCATGAGATTCAGAGATTAGTTTAATAGTCATGAGATTCAGAGTTCTGACATTTACAATTCAAGTACATTTTAAAGCCATGTTCATAATCAGATTCTCCAATTCTCATCGACAGGACTTGAGGGCTGACGTCAAACTATCAGTATACTGTCCCCCCCCCACCCGTCAAGTACTGTCATAGACATGAAGACCAGCATTTTTAGCCGCTTCCTATTTTTAAGCACCTGTGCCAGGTGCAGAAGTAATGTTTTGAAAAGTGGGAGCTGGTCTTGAGAATGCTTGCACCTTATCTCTATCCCTCCTCTCCTCTCCTTTCCCCACAAGTGGAAACCTCCCCCCCCCACTTCTCTTGTTAATATTACTGTTACTGATTATTTGGAGAACCAGTTTGGTGTAGTGGTTAAGAGCGCGGACTCTAATCTGGGAGAACCGGGTTTGATTCCCCACTCCTCCACATGCAGCTGCTGGTGTGATCTTGGGTCAGTCATAAGTTCTTTCAGAGCT